AAAATTCTGTATTGTTTCTAATGTTTTATCTATTTTTATTCTCTTTAAAATAAAAAAGTATGAAAACACATGAAATGTACACTACAACCACAGACAGTTATTGCAGGCCTGCAAGAGTAGTTCAACATTTGACAATTGTCTTAGTCTATTCTATGTGACTATAAAAAAATACTTGAAGCTGGGTTACTTACTGGTAAAGAAAAGAGGCTTATGCACCTCACAGTTCTAGAGGTTTAACGGCGTGGTACTGACATCTGCTTGGCTCTGGCGAAGGTCTTATGGGGATGGCATCAGAGTGGCATGAGTAGAAGCAGAAGGGACACAACTGTGAGCAGAAGGAACGACGCACATAGGGTCACCTTATGTTAGAACAACCAGCTGCATGAGAACCAGTTCATTCCTGTGAGGCCCAACCCAATTTATGACACCACATTAATTTATACATGGGGGTGTAGCCCCTGTGATCTCCATGATGTCCTTAAAGGTGCCACCACCTCAACACTGCCACTTTAGGGATCAAGCTTCCAGCACATGAAACTTTTGAAGGACAAACCATATGCAGATCATAGCAAGAGACTTAATGTGACCTGTCACTTCAGTAGATGAATGGATAATCCACAGTGTAGTCAGACAATGGGCTCCTACTCTGCACTAAGGAGAAATGAGCTATCAGCTAGGAAAAGATGTGGGAGAACCTTAAATACACATTACTAAGTGAAAAAAGACCATCTGTATAGGCTAAATACTAAATGAGTTTGCCTATATGACATTCTGCAAAGGGAAAAACTATGGAGCAGTAAAAATTCAATGGTTTCCATGGGGTAGGAACAACTTTTAATGATGAAAAAAACAGAATGTAGATTTATTTTAGGACAGTGAAACTACTCTGTACAATACTGCAGTGGTGGATACACGCCGTTAGATATTTGTCCAAACCCATACGGTATACCCCACCAGAGTGAGTGGAGCATTCATGCCAGCTCTGCCATCTGGCTGATACCAAGGTCATCTCATTAACTGCTAACAAATGTGACCCTGGGGAGCTGCTGGCAATGGGGGATGCTGTGAGGGAGTGCAGAGGCAGAGGGCACATGGGGATTTTCTGTCTAAATTTTTCTGTGAACCTAAAACTACAAAAACAGGTCACCTAGGAGGCCATCAAGATAGCTCAGCGGTCCAAAGCTCCTGCTTAGGCAAGTGTAGGGACTGCAGTTCGATCCCTGGCACCACATGCCACGCCAGCCCTTCCTCCAGGGTGGGCTGAGCAGGCTACAAGAAAAAAAGTCACCTAAACCATGATAAACTGAGATGACTTCTGTGTCCATGTGGTTGACTCAAGCAAGATGCTGCATGTTTAAAGTTGTTGGTGGGAATTTCCGTGGAAAAATCAAATAAAATCTCTTAAAGTTCGTTGACAGCTAGCTTTCACCAGGAAGTAACTTGACACAACTATACTGAACCAGTCACTCTACATGTATGTTTAGTTTTGTGCCCAACACCCCCATTGTTTTTTTCTAAGCTTTTCAGTAAGTTTACATAAAGGGTGAAATGAACTTAGAAAAATTAAGAACAATTAACATTGGTCAGGAACTTCAGTGTATAAAGAGTTTTGTCATTAGCATCGCATTTGATCCTCTGTACTGCCTCTCTCTAAAAAAGTGAAAAGTAAAAACTAAGCAAACAAAATGTGACCACATAACTAACTGGTAACTAATTGAAGTGACTAATTGGTCATGACACCACCATTGCTACTTCATTCTACTTTATTCTTCCTGTAACTCTGCCCATAAATATGCTAGAAGATGTCACTCCTGTGCCACATCATGTAAAACAATTATGTTCGAGAATGGATCGTCTTTGGGAGAACTGCAATGACAAAGATCATCTTTGTGATTTGTAATACCATTTTAGTGGCATTTGGTTGTATATTCACCTTGGTTTTTTTTAAAGCTTTTATTTCAAATTGAGGAAAAGTACTTGCATTGGATAAAATACAGAAATCTTGTGTAATCTTAAATTTGTATGGTTATATGCCCTTTTCGCCATCACTCATAGTGTAGATCACCCTGGTTTTGCCATAAATGACATTAAACTTTTCACAGTCCTTTCCTTTTATAGTCATGAAGTTACAGAGAAGAGATTTTCATGTACCTACAATGTCTCTTGAAAACCCAAGAGTGATAAGTTTTTGCCCATGATATTAAAGAAAAAATTTAAGGTTATCTCTTCTTTCTCTTTTTTTCTCAAAAAGGTATGGCAGAATAGTGGTTTACCTAATATCCTGTTTCGGTGTGGGTGTTACCGGTGTGGTGGTGGCATTTGCACCAGATTTCCCTGTGTTTGTGATCTTCCGCTTCCTACAAGGTGTGTTTGGAAAGGGAACGTGGATAACTTGCTACGTGATTGGTAAGACTTCGTTGTGTCCTCTTCTCTGTTTGGGAATGGGGGTGAGGTGGCTGGGAAGGACTGCCAAGCGGGCCTTCCTTTAGCAATAATTACAGGAGGCTTCCTTGTTTGTGTGGGTACGAGGGCCTGAGGGAAGGCTTCTGACTGCTCTGGAAACCGAAATGCTGTTTTTATTTGGGAAACCAAGTATGAAATACCATAACATAGTGGGATACACCACTCCTGACCATTCGTGTCATGATTATCACATTTTCCAGTGTTGCTTTACTGGAAATTAATTTCTATAAAAATTTCAGCATCCCCTTGAAACATTGTTAAAGTACGTTCTGCTCTTAAATATTACTTTTAATTCTCACATATGTGAGCTATTTACCAACTGGGAGATATGTTCTAAAAATGAAGATTTTATGAGCACTTGTAATCTCCCAGAACTAGAAAGTTTGGCCTTCTGGGCATGAAAGAATGCCTTCCCTCTACGTTTTGCTCCTATTATTGAAAAAGTCCAGCTCCTCTGCTGGGTTCAGTTTCTAGTGCGAGACCACCACTTACTATATTTCAGTTCATGGTAGGCTCATGACCAGGGTAATGAGGCTCATTTTAGATTATTGCTGTAGATTTAGGGGAGCCACTCGTTTCTTACTGCTATACCCAAGCAATGCCACTTGAAAAATATTTTCAAGACCTTTTTATGGGTCGGAAAAGGAGAAATAACGCTAGAGAGACTGTCACGGACTAGAGCAGAAGGAGCAGTTTGGAATGTGGGACATGTTTAAGGAGACACAAGTGAATAAAAAGGTTCCAAGTTGTGATCCTAGCACAACATGAAGAGAGCTTATTCCAGGATGACCAGAACAGAACAAATCAGTGAGTCGAAAGGGGTAGAGGAGAAAGGATCCTAGCAATAAAATGTCCCATGTGATTTTAAAGAATATCACATAAATGAGAAGTCCAACACTGTGAAAGAATTGTCACTTAATAGAAACTATCTTGTTATAATGAGAAGCATTTGTCAAGTCTAATGTTCATAGTGAATCTCTGTAAGAAGCCATAATGTACAAATCTTTAAAGATACAGTAATTAAAATAGCAGTTTACTATATTCTTTTATAATTACATTTACCTTCCAAAATAATCATCACCGAGGCCTCCCTAAAGCCAGTGCATATTCTTTGTATTCCCCGACCATACTCAGAAGGGTACCAAGCTCGGTGCCTCAGAGGAACATGGCAGAGACAGAGAGTGAGGCAGAAACATTTAAGGAAACTGGAAAGTGCATCTCCAGAATTCCAGCAAACATGGAAGCCTTTGCATCTCCGAGTTCTAGAATCTTCCAGCAGTGCTAATGGATGTAACAGGTGTAATGTCTCTGTTTCTTTTGGAGTTGATCTTGAGATCCCTTAACTTCTTGTGTTTGTTTTCCTTCAGTGACAGAAATAGTAGGTTCAAAACAAAGGAGGATTGTGGGAATAGTGATTCAAGTGTTCTTCACCCTTGGAATCATAATTCTCCCTGGAATTGCCTACTTTATCCCCAATTGGCAAGGGATCCAGCTAGCTATAACGCTGCCCAACTTTCTCTTCCTCCTTTATTACTGGTAATGTGGTTTTGGTCATTATCATATTTATACTTATTCCATAGAAATGTAGACTCTAAGCCAATGTGAAGATGAAAGCAATGAAGGAAATTTTCTGACATTTCCAAGGGGATATGGACTTTGAGCATTTTCAGACAAGCTGAGAATTTGTAGAGATTATTATCAGATTAATGGTTGTCACTAAAAATGATAAAATACAAGAACAAAATTCTAGAGAATTTCGTTTTATTATTTTGCAATATCTTAATGCAAACCATAAGGCAGCAAACTATATCTGCCAGTACTGCAAAAAGTAGATTGAGTGCAATTAAATTAATTTGCTTCTCTGTATGCTTTATTAAGCAAATTAACTTTACTCAAGAATTCTCTGAGGAATAAGAAAATGTTAAGTGCATCAGAAATTAAATTATCAATAATGTACAGGTGTATTTAATTCTTATCAATGTAAACATGTTTTAATCATTTCTCCTATTTGATCTTAATCTGTAGATGAACCAATTTACATAAACCAAGTTATTAACTTTTTCTAATATCACTAAGCCCCAGTTCTTTTTTATATGTATTAGAGACATTATATTGCAGAATAGATTGGTGTTGGAAAAGCAATCCAATATTTTTATACAATAGTTTCATTTTTTATGAGTGATGGAATTATCAAAGTCAGATTTTTAATCCATTGTACATTTGTTAAGATACTCTATGTTTCAGAGAGTTTATTGTCAACTTGTAGAAAGATTGCAACCTATCTAAATGCAAGATATGTTTTGATAGAAAAATTCAAGTCATAAACTTTTAGGTTTTGAAATTCGTGACATAACTCAGAAAAACCCCTCCTTGTTCATTAGGGTGGTTCCGGAATCTCCCCGGTGGCTGATTACTCGGAAGGAAGGAGACAAAGCATTAAAAATTCTGAGGCGCATTGCTAAGTGCAATGGGAAGTATCTCTCATCAAGTTACTCAGAGGTAATTTTATTCATTACTTGCAACAAATACTGTTAACGTGGGTGCATTTACTACTTACATACTTAATTTCCCGACATCTGACTAAATCATTTTTTGTTAAGGTGAATTGATCATTGCAGTCTATATTTTAACAGTTGGACCCAGTTACTCAGATTACCGTCCTCTGTTCACTGTTGGCCTCCTGGTAGTTAATGATTCATTTTGATTGCACAGGCTGTGGATCTTTCCTGCTATTCAGCTCACTCTGAAGATTTGGTTGTAAATTTAGTCTCTGAAATACTATTCAAGCAAACCAGAGTTCAAGAAATACTTCAGTATTTCAGCTTTAGGCTCACATATGCTTTCTTCCCTCCCCACTTTACCTCTTCCCCTCCCTCCCTCTGTCCCTCTCTTCTTTCTTTCCTTCTCTCCTTTATTCTTTTCTCTTCTTTTCCTTCCTCTAACAAAGGTCTTTTAGGAATCTGGATGGGAGAAGATGAAAAGCTTATTCTTTGGCCTTTGGAAGATACCATATGCAGTTGAGGATATAATAAAATGTTCAAAGTAGCTGCTGAATTATTAGAGAATGGCATACAAAAAATATGACTGAACTTTAGCTGAAAAGATCAAAATGCAGAGTAATAAAAGGATTATTATAAAAGATCTGTGGGAGCACTTATGCAAAACTGGGACCCTACAGAGAAGATGAGCACAGTCTCTGCACAAGGATGATGTGCAAATTTCTGAATGTCCCATATGTTTTGTAGACTGTGATATTTAAGAATTATCTGGGTTGGATGGGGGGCACTTATTCGTGTGACATTATTGTATAGACGCTTAATCATGTAACAGTTCAGATCCATTCCGGTGAGTGCCAGTGCAGTGTGCGTGTAGAGAAGTAACGGAATTACTTTTGAATTACAAAGTGTTGCATTTTTTTAATTGTGAGATTTTTAAGAACATGTAAGGCACAGTCTGGTTTTTGGCCTGCACCCACTAGGGACTTTCGCCAGTCTGACCATGACACTGGGAGCTTAAGAATACCTGGTCCACGAATGGGGACAGAGTAACAGTAAAGGCACCTACTACAGACCAAAATTAGAGAAAAAGGAGGGATACAAGGAAAGCCAACATTTTGGCCCTAGCCTTCTAAGGTCAATTAAGACTCAGGACATATGAGAACTTGTACTGTAACGTCATGTACCTCAGTAGTGTCCCAAATTTTCTGATCAAGAAGATTATGGGGCCAAAGAGGAAAGTGATCGATGACGTAGAGTGGGCCTAAGGAGAGTCACATGGGGAGAAGACACTCTCTCAGGCTTTCACAGAGAGCACATTGGCCAAGCAATGGCCGTGACTCCTCCACATGGCTGCACTGATAAAGGTTCTACAATCTGAGGTACAGGATCTCAGGACAAATCCTGAGGGCATTTCACTGACCTTCTCAGACCAAAAAGCTACAACTCTTGTTGCATAGGTCTTGCTTTACCTTGGTCTTAACCATCCAGTAGAAAAGTATGAAGTTGAAATATAAGAAATAAAGCCATGCTGTTAAGTTGAGCTGTGGGGGACTCAGGTCAATAATTTCTGACATTGCCAGTTAAACAGAAGACCCAATGCTATTATGGGCTACTGGATTCTTTTAGAATATTTTGCTGAGTTTACACACCTATAATATTCAATAACGGAACTTAGGAAAAATGGGGTATACCGATGAATGTCCATTTTGTATCTGTGTATTCAAAGAGGTTGGGATAGATATATAGTTGCATTCTCTTAATGAATAGAATGATTTGTTCTAATGGTGTTTGTAAATAGGATCACAAGTCCGCATCTTGTACAGCAATTAACCACTAAGAAGAATATATGCAGTGTATTATTTGTTGAAACTGTACTTCCGATTTGATTTGAAACTGTCTCATTGCTGTTTATCAATAAAACTTTGAAAAAAAATAAAGAAATAACTGCTAAAGAAAAAAAAAGGCACCTACTAGAGAAAAGAATTTTTAATGTGTACAACCAGCAAATAAATCAGTATAAAGTATTTATTATTTATGAATCCCCCTCCTATGTACAAGTCATTAATGGTTAAGATTTCTTTTCTTCCCTTTTTTTTCTTGATGTGTTTACCTACTTTAATAACCACACATATGCCATGTTATCACGATGCAATGTAAATTCAGGTTACATAAGAAAAATTTAGAAGTGTTTACAAGCATCCTGTAGTATGTCAGGTTGTGTGTCATGTCTGACCGAACCAGCTTGTTTATAAACCATTAATCACTTTCATTTTGAAATTTTAAAAAATCTTTTATTTATTCATTTGGTACAGGGTCTTGCTATGCAGCTCAGAGTCATAGTGATCCTCCTGTCTTAGCCTCCCCAGCACTGGAATTACAGTCATGCACCACCAAACCCAGTTTCAGTGGATGGCATGATGTGAGGCCGGCATAGCATGTGGTACCAGGGCCCAAACCTAGGCTCTTGAGCTTGCTAGGCAGGCACGCACTTAGACTGCTGAGCTATCTCCTCAGCCCATCACTTTCACTTTGGGTAAAATGTTTAACATTTCCAACTCTTATGGAAAAAGTAAACAGGCTGCACATATTTAAGAAGTGTTTATTTATCTGTGTATTAGCATTTAAAATAAATATTTCTATTTCAAGGTGACATTTAAAAATTAAGCCTGTATAAAATCAGCAAAAATGTAATTGCATAATTATAAAAGAGCTAAGTTTAAATCCATAATTAAGCTATTCACATTTTTACAAGTGTCATTCTGAAATAAATACTATGCAGCTCTGATGTAAGTTTTCTAAGTTTGAACACACAACATCTAGTTGAGAGAGGGCTCGTAAGTCATACTTCATGCATGTTTT